TATGACAGCCGAAACATTGAATCGGTATGATTATATTTAATTTATATCAATAGAAAAAAAAATGATTATTCATTTGATTAATATTAATCACAGATGTAAATAAAATGGATATTAGCATATAGTTAATTTAAAAGTTAGTCGTTGCACCCGGACCTCGAGATTTCACTAATCTGAAAAGTTCGACTAAAAAGAAAATTAGTACATATATATATACATAATAAAAAATTATTAATATAGAAATTTATTTACTAGGTATTGGAAAAACAATTGTCGAATTCTTTTCAGCTGATATATGTGTTAATGTTTGAAGATAACGTAATTGTAATGCAATTGGACTCTCATTAATTACATCAGCAGCTTCCTAAATATATATAAAAAAAAAAATAATAAATTCTAAACTATATTTCAAAAATAAGAAAATTTTACTTTTAATGATCGTGATGCTTTTTGTTCACCTTCAGCTGCAATTATTTTTGCACGAGCTTCTCGAGAAGCTACAAAAAAAACAAAACAAAATCTAATTATTTAATAAAATATAAATAAATTCTGACCTTCAGCTTCAGCAGCCATACTACGTTGCATACTAACAGGCAATCGAACATCTTTGCTAAATAAAAATGATCATAGTTGTTAATAGAGAAGAAAAAAAAAAAAAAGAAAATATTTACATTTCAACACGTTCAACTTTAACTCCCCATGGATCAGTTCCTTCATCAAGATGTGCTTGCATTAAATGTGAAATATTTTCACGATCAGATAAAATTTCTTGTAAAGTTTTTGTACCTCTAATAAAAGAACATTTTTTGTTTTGTGTTGAAATTTAATTTATATAAATTTAACTTACAAAATATTACGAAGTGTGGTTGCTGCAAGTAATTGTGTTGAATATCGTGAATTTTCAACATTAGTTACACTAATAATTGGATTAAATATTCGAAAATAAACAACAGCATCTACTGAAACTGTCTATATGAAAAATAAAATGAAGCTTTTTATTTTTTATAAATTCTTTAAAATTACAAACCACAGAATCTCGTGTAAGTATTTCTTGAGGAGGAACATCAAAAGTAACTAGAAATAAATACAAAAAAAAAATCGACAAATGAAAAATATAATTCTTCGAACCAGTTCGTAAATCAACTTTAATTATTGTATCAACACATGGTAAAACAAAGAATAAACCTGGACCTTTGGCACCACCTAAAAAAAAAAAACATAATAAATAAGATTTTCATTATATTCCTACCAGGAAGAATTCGACCAAGACGCATAAGAACTGCTCGTTCATATTCTTGTACAACCTATTAAACCAAAAAACATATTTATTTGTATAAAAATTATTTTATATGTTTTTGTTTTTTTTTCCGTACTTTTATAGCAATACAAAGTGAAAATGGAAATGTCAATGCACAAAGAATATAGGATAATACAACAAGAATCCAACCACATGCACCAAGACCTTGTTCTGTATTTCTTACATCGTCTATAATAATTAAGAAAGATTATGTTAATTTCGAAGGTATTTAATTAAACTATAATTTAGCAATAGAAATTTTTTTTTTATAGCAAAAATTTATTACATTGAAAACCTCTTGGAGCAGTATTTCTTGGTTCAGTCGATAGATTAACTGATAGATGACCATAGATAAATAGAGTATATGAATAAGAAGAAGAAAAAAAAACAATTTCACATCTTATAACATACTATCTGTTGTAACAGTAGTTTTGTGATGTTGTTTTTGTTGTTGTTTTGATGTCATTGCAAATTCTTGTTCTGCCGAACTAATTCTATTCGAACGCTAAAAGAAAAAGAAATCTTCTTTTTATCATTATTTTTATATATCACGAATGATATTCTCATAGGAACGACCCGTTTGATAAAGAACTGACGTATATAATTTATGCGTCATTCTTTTTTCATACTTATATTGTAATTGTAAATGACAAGAAAGAATATAAAAAAGAAAATAGTTTTTTTTTTTTTTTTTTTTTTTTTTGAGTAAAAGTTTGTTATTAGTATGAGATAGTGATACTGACGCATTGAATATGACTAAAACTCGGATAGGACTCCGATGTGCGTCATCACATTGTTATTTATGTAGAACAAGATGAACTCAAAACGAAGATGACAAAAGAAAAAAGAAAAGATAAACATCGATTACTAAGTTATCTGTCAATACTGTTTCTGTTTTTCCTCATTTCCGGCGGTTGTGTCTCGTAAAATGCAGAATAAAATAGCAAAAAAAAAAAATATATATATATATGACATACAATATTGTAGACAATAGTTGCCATAAATGATGATAGAAGAACTCAAAGTAAATTCATAGGAACATCCAATAATCTTTTTTTTTTTTGCTTCTGATAATTTTTTTTGTATGGAAATCTAACAAACTAAGTCAGACAGTTACTTATTTGATTATATGTGCTATCTAGTCTAAGATAATAATAGTAATAATATAGCTTTTTATCTGTTACTTACTGATTTCATATAGATTCTTCTTTAATTATTATTCGATGTTATATTCGTTTACAACGAATAAAAGAAAAAAAAGAAAATGGCTATTTGATACTTTTATAAGTTCGAATAGCTAAAAGTGTTGCTAAACAACATAGACGTCATTTATTTTGTTTTCAAGCCTACATCAAATGATAAAAGATGAAGTAAACCAAAACAGTGTCAAGGTTTTTCTTGTTTTTTTTCTTCTTTCTTTCGTTTTATTACTCACATCAGACTAGTCGTGATGGGTCATAGATGAAAGAAAAATGATACCTTCATTTTCATTTCATCGTAACTTCTAAAAGTACAGAACAGAAAAAAAAACTATGATATGAGCGCGTTTACATATGAGAGAAAATAACAGAATGAAAGACGACAAATATTATTAGCGATGACATAGGCGTAACATGGTCTTGACGCATCATGATATCAATTGAACAGAAGGGCAAAACGAACTAATAGAATAGAAAACATAAATTACAACATGATGTATTCTAAATCAAATGCATAAACAAAAATAAGAGTAATTAGGTATGTGTTTAATGTCATGCAGATTTAATCTTCATCGGATAATTCATCAAAAAATAAGATATGAATAAATCGGTAAGCTTGGATAAAAATTTTGAAAATTACATTTATATCAATATAATTGTTAATGAATCTTTCGTTTTACAAGTATATATATATATATAGGTCGCGCCAAAAGTTTTTTCGTTCTATTTAGTTAAAAGACTTTATTAAGAAATAACTATACAACTGTAAGACCCAGACATATTTAGGATTATGTACAAAATTTCAGACTTCTAAATCTTGTGCTTTGTTTTAGTCTATCATTTCTTTAATACTAATGAGACAGGTTAAATGATCGTGTATTGTGTACATCAGTTTTTAATCCCTTAATAAGTTGTATTAAAAAAAAACAAGATGCAGCATGAAAAGTTCGACAATTGGTGTAAGTAATAAAAAGATGAAATAAGAGAAAAGAAATTTCTCGTTCGTGCTATCTTGTCATAGTGTCGAAATTTGATCGCTCAAAATTTTGTCCATTCTGAAAGAAAAACGTGCAATTATAAAAAAAAAAAGATCTTATGCAAATTGTAGATACAACTTATTAAGGGATTGAAAACTGATATACAAAACGTGACCATCCAACCCGTTATGTATTATATTGGAAATCACATGTACCTATTATAAAACAAAACATAGGATTTAGTAGTCTGAAATTTTGCACATAATCCTAAATACGTCTGGGCATTATAGAAATATAGTTAGTTCTTAGTCAAGTCTTTTCAAAGGGCCGGATAAAAACACTTTTGGAGTGATCCTTGTATTTATACAAGATCAACTACCATTAATAATTCATCATTCTCTGTTTGTCGTATGTTCATATATAATCAACTTTTTGACTTGTTGGTTAAATTATATTAGTCTGCCAACTATATTCTGAATTTCATACATTTATATTATCACAAGTTCAAATAGTACAATTGTAATAAATAATAACGAAATCTATGAATATTCGTACAAATATATGATATTATTTATTTAACAACAATAAAATATTAGCATTATCAGAAATCAGCCCGATATTAAGTGATCTACTGTTGAGAAGAATCTTTTTGATGACATACGAAAATGTCCATAGGCTCTTAGTAACAATATAAGATGTTTCACTTTATGAATATGCAATCATTGAAAGAATTTTCATATTGATGTATTTCATGTTCATTCTTGTATATAGACAGTTTAACATCTCGAATGTTAGTCCTTGGGGGGGAGACGGCACTACATACATTGGACTACCTATTTTCCAATAATGAAAATTTTTACTCTCCATTAAACTGTTATGACCTGTAAAGGTAATAATCGGTCTTCCGATCTGCTATCGCATACATACCTTTTCTTTCTGTTAACATCTATCGATGTTATGATCTCTCATTTTCTTCTCTTGATAGATAATATAAGTTTTTTAATATAATTCTTTTGAGCCGAATATAATAAACTGATTGAAGAACTAGTTTTTCAATTGCAAGAAAAAACACTCCAATGTCAAAGGATTAAATAATGTAATGATTTAGTTCGTTATCATTATATCAAATTGTTTGTCTTGTTAAATATTAAACAATAATACAACTCAAGAACTTTAAAAAAAATTCAAAAGAATTGCATCAAAATGTTCATTTCAATTAATGATATTGAAATACATTAATTTTTATATCCGTGTCATTATTCAAAATGTCATTTTAAAATTCTATGAGAAATATGCGAATTGTTTAGATTCAAATGTTTCGAATTTATTTAATAATACTAATGTTTTACGATAATTCTTATTCCATTGAATTTTATTATCGAAAACTGATTGTTATTTGATAAAACCTTTAAAAATTCGATTTTGAAATAAAATCTAAGCATTTTATCAAACGATTATTTGATATTTCTTGAAAAATGTCATTTGACAAAAGACTTTTTTCTATAAAATAATAAGATATTCTCAATACATCTAATCAATTCCTATATTGAAATCATTATTTACCAGAAATTTAAAAATATAAATAAAAACAAGATCTTTCCATTCAACTTCTCTCATAATATTACAAATATTATATAATTCAGTTGTAAAATATCCCTTTTGTTTCTAATACAATTTGTTTTTCCTTTCAATTGATGAAATGCTCTATAATTGCCATATAATTCTCATTAGCATAATAAGGATACGTATTTATTGTTAAGTCAATAGTTAACATATCTGACAACCTATATATCATTCTATATACTAATGTCAAGTATTCGTCTGTTACACAAAGTTAAAACTGAAGGGTAAAAGGTCCGATATCAAAACAAACGTGCAATCTGCACGAAAATTCGCTAATCCTTGGTGAATACACACCAGTCGAATTCTATCGGATTGTCGTAAAAAATTCCTGGTATCGGATTAGCTTGTTGAAGATTTACTTGTAAACGAGAATTTGTAACTATTGATTGAAGAAGAAAATTTATCAATGGTAACATTAGTAAAATGATTTATTTAAATGAATAGATCAATTACTTATTTATACTCATCTAAGTTAGATACAATAAGTTAGAATTAGTTGTGATTTTATAAAAAAAAAAAAAGAAGATAGATGAAGATTAAAAACAAAACATTCAATATTGAATACATCATATTTTATAATCTTGCATTATCTCTATATTAAACAACATTTATCTCTGACAATTCATCTTGATATTAGGAATAAAAGAACTATTGAAATAGTTTATACTGCATTAGTTATCAATGGTGATGATGACGTTAGTGTTGATATCTGAGTTTGACATAATACAAAATAAATAAGACGATTATACATATATAAACGCATTTTAGGATAAAAATAACCAGCCTTTGTAATTTGTGATTAAAAAAAGTAGTTATAAACTATAATGAACTTGAATAGTTCTTTATATTAGTAATAAAACTCACTTCGATTAAACGTGAATTCAATTGTTGATTATCATATATTATAAGTATAATCTGAAAAAAGTTTAATGTTGACTATGGATAAGATTTTAAATCTCTACTTAGCATATCACAATATAGAAAAGTGAATTGAGAACAAATAATTCATTATCATAAAATATGACACTTGATCGATATTTTAGTTTTAGTGACCAAATTGAAATAAA